AGGACTTACAAAAACAAATATTATGGAACATTCTCATTTGTGAAAGCAAGCCATTGTTTTTAATTTTTGCTAGTTTTCAGCCGACAACGCCAGAATCCGGATTTCGATACCCGTGGTGGGCAGAGACCCAGATAGCCATTGTGTAGCCTTGTGACTTAATTACAAACAAATAAATCGAGAAGATTTCAGCCACCCAGCGCTTAAAATCTGAAATAAGCTAGAAAGCACAGTAAAGAATTCTAAGTACGTACTTCTATCTACGTTTTGGGAAATTATTGAAAAAAAAAAAATGTTGAAAAATCTTTTTATATTTTTAATTTTTCGTTCTTCATAGAACTGTAAAATTGTTATATGGATTTATATTTATGGGCTATCCATGGAAAGTGGTGGGCATATGGTGTTTATGAATAAAGAGTTTCTCTCTTAAAGTTACCTCCTTGTAGTAACTTCCTTTCTTGCGTTCTATATTTAGATCTGAGGCTGACGAGACGATGCTTAAGTTAGTGTGCTGTTTTTAGTATCAGCTGGTATGCATAAGAAAGTACTGCAAATGTTTGGCCCTTGCTGTTTAACTGAAGAAAGAAAATATAATGTACATGTAATGCACTAAACCAGTTGTAATTTGAGTAGCAGGTTAATAATTTATTAAGCTGATGTGTTTTTTTAATAATGTAATGAAGAACTATAAATATTTTACAAATTTTTAAATATTTTGTTCTTAGTAATATTCAAATACGTAAGACAAAGTGCTATATATAACGTCTTATTAAGCTCACATGTGTGTGTATTGTTTTAATAGTGTATTGTAAAATTATAAATATTTTACCATTTTGTTCTTAGTAATAGTAAAAGACAAATTAATATTCTTTATAAATGGTTAACTGGTAAATTGTAATGTTATGGTACAAATGCAAATTTACAACCAAAAAGAGATAGGAAAGTTATTTGATCATAGAGAATTCACTGACTAACAATGGATGTAGTCCCCCGATGGGACAGCGGTAAGTCTACGGATTAACAAAGCTAAAATCAGGCGTTCGATCACCCTCGGTGGGCACATCAGATAGCCCTATGTGGCTTTGCTATTAAAAAAAACAACACGCATACATACAATTAATGTAAAATTTTATTGCTCTTAAATGAAATGTTTTCATGAAACTAAATTTGCTGATTAAAAGCACTTGGTAATCCCCCAATCGACGCACACATACAATTAATGTAAAATTTTATTGCTGTTAAATGAAATGTTTTCATGAAACTAAATTTGCTGATTAAAAGCACCTGGTAATCCCCCAATCGGACAGGGGTAAGCCTATGATTTTACAGTGACAAAATCCAGGATTCGATCTGCCGCGGTGGTCACAGCAGATAACCCAATACGGCTTTGATGTAAAGTAACCAAACCAAAGACCACGCACGTACGCAGTGGGGGTCCGGCCGAACCCCCTATTTTTGTGATATAAAAAAAAACTTGTGTTTCAATAGCCATGGCGCGAATGCTTATGGTATTTAATGTTTTCTACATAGTTTACATTCTTCTGATGAAGAATTAGCATTTTTTTTGGCTTGAAATAGCCGCGTGCCCCCAGACCCCCGTAACACTAGCATGCTTTGTATACTGATTCTGATTCGCACAATATGTGTTGATTTTTGATCTCACAAATTAAAACCCCCTTTCAAACATTATATTTACGGTTTGTTTGTTTGTTTGTTTG